TCATCATCATCATCATCACCACAACAGTACCATTATCATCATCAACCATCATCATTATCATCAAAATGAACATTATCATCATCACAATCATCATCACCATTATTACCATCACCACCATCATCACCACCATCATTACCATCACTACCATCATCATCACCATCATCAGCACCACAACCACCACCATCATTATCCTCATCATCATCATGACCGACTTGGTTTTGGTGATCGGGGAGTAGGAGATGCATGAGCACGTGACCAACTCCTTCTCCTTCACTTCCGTTGGAAAAATGGTGATATTGATATCTTTCGATCATCATTATTATTGTTATTATTATTATTATATTAAATTACTATTATTATTATTGTCATTATTATTATTATTATTATTATTATACATTCAAATGTATAATAACTATATTAAGACTGATTACATTTCTCGTTGTACGCATTTTATATTTATAATGGCGAGCATCGTAGACTACTTTCTCATTTTAATTCATTTTATTTTATTTTATTTTATTTTATTTTATTTTATTTCATTGAATATTTATTTCGCCCCTTTTTGGAAAAAAAATAAAAGAGCTCCCATTATTATTATTATTATTATTCATTAGAGCTAGGTCTGCATCTATGGAATAAATTCTTGGGCGGTTCTAGGGCTCATTTACTCACTTACTCACTCTCACTCACTCATTCCCACATTCACTCCCTCACACCTTTACTCCCTCACACCCTCACTCCCTCACACTTTCACTTCTTCACTCCCTCACTCACCAGCGGAGTAGACCTCCACGGGCCCACTCCAGCTACTATTGTAAGTCCTCCCATCGATCTGATTGTACACGATGACAGTGAGATTGAAATGCCCGGCCCTGTTCAGCAGGAGGGAATCCACCTTGCTCCACTCATTCCTATCCACATCCGCCCCCTTGACGATCCACCGGTATAGGATTGGTGGCGGGAAAGACTTGTACAGGCAGACGAACTCTTCGCGGATTTTCACGACGGAGTGCTGCATTTGTACGTCTACAACTGATTGGTGGTTTGATGGGTGTGGGTGGGTGGATGATGTGACTGGCCGGTTGGGTAGGCTGG